GGGCTGCCTGAGTTGCGCGTCATGCTCTCCATGCCGGCGGCGACGGCGACCGACGCCGCCCCCCCGCGGATCTGGCCGGCCACGGCGGCCACGGCCTGCAGCGACGACGAGCACGCGCGGTTGACGGTGAAGAGGGCCGTCGAGCTCGGGTACCCGACGTGGTTCATGGCCATGCGCGCCGCCTTGGAGCCCCCCAGCTCCGAGAGCACCACGCCCACGCCCACGTCCTCGATCAGCGGGCCCAGGTCCGTCCCCGGCACGCTGCGCTCGCGCACGTGCCTGAGCACGCAGGCCAGCAGCTCCTCCGGGTACGCGTCCCTGAGGCGGCCCTTGTAGGCGCGCGTGATGGGCGTGCGGACCGACGAGAGGATGACGACGTCGCCGGGCGACTTGGCGAGGATGTTGGCCACGCCTCGGGGGCCAGGCATTGTGTCTCTATTCTTGGTTGGGACGGGTACGGCTCGGCGCAGGCTATCTTGCAAAATGGCGGCAAAAGAAATACAAAGTGGGAAGAAAAAAATTCACAATTAAATCAAGATCAAAGGTGAAATGAAATGGCAAGCATGGATAGATGCAAGCACGTCGTCGGAAATCTACAGTCGGATGGCGGCGCGGCGGCTAAGGGCTCTTCCGTGCCGTGCCAAGTTGCCGTCGTCGAGTTCCGGCGTCAAAGTCCCGAGCCGATGGCACTGTGGGGCGGCCATGAACCACAGGTGCCGTCACTTTGAATAAAGTTATCAATTGATTAGTTGCCGGCTGGTCCGATCTAATCAACTGCTCACGGCAAAAATTACATGGGCCTGGTCCATCCTTCCGTGTGTTGCATCCGAGTAGTCATTCATCATCTTGAAGCTTGCATGGCCCAAGTTGAAGCCTTCATCTATTCGTAATCTATCTGGGCTATCCACGTCAGTGTAAAACGCATGCACTCCTCATCATTTGACAAATACAATCCAGGGTACCTGTGTATACATGTCAAGCCAACGTCCAAACCCCGGAATATGCCATATTCAAGATTCCTACTTGGGTGGATTAGTCGCTTACACAGTACCAAATATATCTGGCATTGCCCTCATGCCGTGCGTTTCATAACGGTCCCTTGTTGCCAGCCAAACATCGTCTCATCATGCATAATCATCTGCTGTATTGAATTCCGAGACCCACTCGCTGCTCCTCCGTCATCGACCCAGCTCTCAGCTTCTTCGGAGGGCTCCCATGCTCACGTCTTGAATCGTCCACCGCCAATGCATTCCAGCTAAACTTGCGCTTGTCCATCGTGCCACCTCCGCCCCTGGAGCTTGACAGGAGCCTTGCCTGCAACTTGGCTGATTGCTCAACAGGCCCCTGTCCCAGCCCGGGAGATCCGCCCCGAGACCCTACCGGAGCGGCCACTCCGAAGCTTCGACCTGCGTGACGCCGCAGCATTTCCGTTGCCGCCTGGCTCGCCTGGCTGTCAAATACTTCCTCGTCATCGGCCTCGTCAGCTCTGCGTCGTTGACGTGACCCCTGTGGTGCAGATTTAGATCCCTGGGACGTGAATGAATGCATTGCCTCGACCGATTCCAACGCTTGCCTTGCCAGCTCTTCATTGTCGTCGGCTGAGATGGTGCTCTCTCGACTTTTTCGTCGTCGATCCCGCTTGGGAGTCGGCGTCGTCGGCACAACTTGCTGCTCACTATGACGATGCCGGGGCTCGGTTTGCGGCACCAAGTCAGCCGACGGCAACAAGCCAACGTCTCGAGATCGACTGACAGGCGTGGTCGGAAGCGATGACATGGACTGCGCATTGCGGTTATGCCTACCAGAGTGTTTCTGCACGGCTCGGTGAGACGTCATTGGTGTGGATGGAGCGCTGTTGTTATCCTGACTCTGGCTCATGGCTTGCAGCAAGGCTGAGAGACCATGTTCACGGCCCTCGGTCTCACCACCCCGTTGCGAGGATCGCGGCGTCTGGTGCGAACCTCCATGCGGTGCGCGGTGCTGTTGAGGCGTCGAAATATGTTGCTGTTTCGGGGTCAGAGCGCTGTGAAATATCCCACCAGGACTGCACAACATGTGGAAATGCTCCCGGTTCTCTCGGATACGAGTCAGAAGGAGGTCCCTCTCCTCGGTCAGACACATAGTCTCCTCCTCCTTCTGCTGAATAACCTTCTTGGCAACCTTGAGCCGACGGGCCAGGGTCTCATTCTCCTCCATGGCAGCCTCATACCACATCTTCATCTGCAGATACTTGGTTTGTGTGGAATCAGACGTTGTGCTGAGCTCTCGCCTCGCCTGACGAGAGTGTTCTGCCATCCGTAATGCATCCACCTCCCTCCGGATCATTTCGTGCTCCACGGCAGCACGTTTGGCGTCATCCTCCGCTTGAAGTCTCAGCAAGTTGTACTGCAGCTTGTGATGCGCCGTTTCCATCTTCAGTTTCTGCTGCTCGGCGATACACGTCTGAAGCATGCATCTCAGCTCATCGGCCGGAGCCTCCAGGACCTGGTGAGGGGACGGCGGGGCATAATCGGTGCCAACTTGTCGGTCACGGATATTGTTCAGGATAGTAGCGGGCGGCGAGTAAAGCGCAGACTGCTGCGACTGCGAAAATGTTCGTCTCGCATTATTGTGGGCAGCGACCTGGGTGGACGGCGGAGGGGTCAGAGACGAAGGAATCACCATGGCGGTTGGTTGCTCATCATTGGCCTCGGTTTTGAAGGAGTGATCAGGGTCTATTGGCGATCCAGGTATCTCAGTTGAGGGCAGAGTCACTTGTGACGACACGGGCAGAGGCCCAACCTCCTCAGGTGTAGATGGCTCAATTGGACTGGCGACATCAGCGTTGGATTGGCGAGCATCCAGCTCGGCCTGGTGAGCCATGGTGAACTACTTCGTGCGGGAGAGGGAGAATTCTTCGTAGGCGGTGGCTCGTAGTTTCAGAGGAGACAATGCGGCGATTGAATGTTTGTTGTGTCTGTTCGGTTCGAGTCTCTCCCGCTTCACCGTGGGGCAGCAAGAACTTGGGCTTCTTTGTGCTCGGCCTGCCCAACGCATGCAGCCTGACAGCGGAGCCCAGCTTCGCATAAACCCAGCACAGGCGTTGCAGCGCCAACAGCGGCCGTGATTCGAGCAGTGCGAGATAGATTGGACTGTTTGGCGGTGCTGACAGTTGGCGGTGGTGATGTGTAAAGGTAGTGATGATGGGGTCGAGAGAGGGTGTGAGTGCGGTCGAGAGCTTAATTGCAATCGGCGATGGCTCTTGTGCAACATTGAACCAGGCTCAACCTTGAGCTGGGGCCCATGCTCTGGCCTCTGGCCTCTGGCCGCGTGCATCGGCTTCCCCCAGATGTGGTTGCTCGGAGACGGAATTGACAGGGTACATGCTGGAGGTCACATGAGGGCTAAACCTAATCCAGCCAGTTCCATATCCCAGGATCCCCTTTCACTCCTGTGCTCGACCCCTGGGCATCCCGATCCCTAGCCAGCGTTCATTAACCCGACAAGATGCACACGACTTTATATTATGGCGGACAATAATGGGAACCATGGGCAGCTTGCTTGTTCTTGCTTCTAGACCTAGTATATAATATGTAAATGCACCACGCCATACCAAGGCCACCAGCGCGCGCCCGTCAATATCCATTTCTCACCTCCACGCATCTCAACAAGTACAACGCCAGAAAGGACCCCAGTGTTTGTCTCCCGTTGAGGCGGCAGAACCTCAGAATCTCATACCTTGTCGTCTGGATCCAGTTCCTTCCCCGTTTTCTGTGTCTTCAGCCTCTTCTCGGCACGCCACATCCTCAGCTTCCTCGACAAGGACCCTACAACCACGCCAGGTAGAATCAATGGCCACCCAAATAAGACCGCGAGCCACCACGCTCCCACAGCAGCCTTGTCCCAGCGCTTTCCCTCAGAATCAAGGTACCACTCAGGAATCCATCGACCGGCTCGCCCGCGGCCATTGATGCACAAGATGCATATCGCCCCGAAGAGCATCCATCCAACCACAGATATTGGAATCAAGACCTTGACGATGTTGTGGTGTTCGTAGGAGTGCCCAGGGTTGGATATATCCCATGAGCCGTATTGTTGAGCCATTTGAGAGGAAGATGTTTCGCGCCTCGGAACTACTTGTTTGTCAACTATGATTCTCCCGACTGGCGTTGACCCTTCGCTTGTTGTCGGGCTGGCGTACATGGCCGCGTTTATTCTTGATGGGCAAGGTGTAAGAGTTGATAAGGATAGAAGGACCAAAAGCTGCTTGTGTGGGTGTGTATTCTTACTTCAAAAATAAAAGCCAGAGGCAAAATATTTAGAACTCCACCACTACAACACGGCGACAGATGGAGTGAATCACGACCCCACGACTGCCTTCCTCTGATTCAGTGGCAGTAGAACGATGTAGCAAAGTTTGCACGACAAGAGGCAAGAGCTTCCTTCTTCTACAGTCATTCACACTCATAAGTTTGAATGATTCATCCCCTGTTTAAGGGCGGAGCTGTCAACTTCCCAAACATTGCAGTGCATCGTTTGTTAGGATGCGTCGGTGGCATGATAACATACGCCAGTCCTGGCAGCTGATTCGGCGCAAATTTGAATGCCTCATTGTTTATCGCTTCGGGATATGATGTCTTGCATACTTTCTTTATTCCCCTCATCTGGCTATATATATAGCAGCTGCGGAGGGGATCCGGAAATTTTCGCACCCTATCATGCGACGTACTCGCGTCTCAAAATGTCCAAAATATTAATATTATCTTGCTGGTATCCGCTGTAATTGTCAACTCCGTCTGCAATGTTTTGCGCCTCTCTATCGTACTTTTATTAGTCTACATCCTCTCCGCTATCTTCACCGTTGGCTGCCCTCCAAGCGGCCATTTCTTCAGTCGGAAGTCTTCCTCGTAACCATCTCAGCGTGGCCTCGGTTCCCCTTTCAAGAATACTCCACCTCGGCACTCTAAATCGATTGCCGGCAACCTCCAATCGTTGTAGTCCGTCGACACCACCAAGGAGACCGAGCCTGGGATTGAGCTGGCCAATATTATTGCTAGAGGCATCGACGATCTTAAGCCCCCGAATCCACTCGGGATCAAGCTCTGATAATTGATTGCTTGCCACTAATAGCACAGAAAGCTGCGGAAAGGCCTGTTTCAAACTCGTTGGGAGCGAAGCCACGCGATTGAGAGTGGCGTCGATCTTCTCCAAGCTCGGTGCCCTCAGGAACCTTGTCACGGGGTTCAAGCTTGTGATTTGATTTGACAAGAGGCTCAGTTCCCGTAGAGCGGGTAGGTCAAGCGTTTCTGTGAGGTACGAGTCGCCAGTTATCTGCGCATGTGCCAAAGACAGAAAGGATAAAGTTGAGCCAAATGCGCCAAGAGCAATTGGGATAGAGGCAATAGGGTTATGATGTAGTTGGATTTGGCGCACTTGATTCTTCGAAGCGACCGTGGAGCAGATATTGGGGTTCAAAGAGGACATGTCGGATCTCGACAAGTCCAACAAGCCTCCTGGCTTCACGAACCAGACGTCTTTCACGACTGTCTGTGATCACGACCGATTCGGAGTGTGCGGGGCAGAAGTGGGCGGTGTGGTGAAGTCGTCTTCCACATCAGATCGAACATCCCCATCGTTAGTGGGAGGAAATGTGTCCATATCGCCAACTGTTTTGAGTCTGTCATCGATTTCCGAAAGACTACTCATCAAACCCGTGATTGTGGTAAGGTGTCCAGGCTCTTGATAGGGAGGCGGCGGCTCCAAGCGACCAGCCAAGATCTCTTTCAGCTCGTCTGTCGCAGCCGAAATTAATTTGCGATCTCTCAACGGATTGCCCGTTAACCGAATCATGGAGAGGCTTTGCATTCTGGCGATCTCTGGCGGCACTATTCGTACGTCATTGCTAGCAAAATCTGCGTGACGTAGCTTTTGCAAGCCAGTAAAACTGTCTGGGATGTTGGCAATGTGGTTCTCATCAACAGCTAATGTCAGGAGGTTTGTCCAAGTCGACATGTTCGGGAGGCATTGCAGCCTGTTGACAGATAGTGAAATGGCATGGATTACCGGGAGGCTGATGACGGTATCCACAGGTATCAGGTGAGTTAACTGGTTTGCTGAGGCGTCCAGAGTTTGCAAGCAGGGGAGAGATTCGACCGGCTGCTGAATGAGCACACCCGAAAGCTTGTTCTTTCTCACGAATAGTTCTGTCAAAGGAAGTTTAGACAAACTGTCGAAAGGCAGGCTTTCTAGTTTATTCTCATTCATATTCAGGATGCGGAGGCGCTGCATGTTCTCGATATCGGGAGGCAAAGCAGAGATGCTGTTTCCGTGAACATCGAGCATCTCCAGGGAACTCAGGTTCATCAACGCCGACTTTAATGGACCAGACAGCTGGTTTTTGGACAGTTTCAGGTCTCGAAGAGAGCCGATTTGAGATATTATATCTAGACTACTGTTTTCAAGCTTATTGGAAGACTGCTCTAATGTAAGCAAGAAGGTGGTCAGTTGTATGGAGAGCAGTCGCACTTACAAGATTGAGCGACGTCAGGTTGGCGAGACGCCGGAAGCCAACAGGAACTTTTGCAAGCAGGTTTCCGTGCATATCTAGCGTCTCTAATCCACCGAATATGCAGCCCTGTCCTTCCTCTTGCTCGCCAAACGTCTCTGGGCTCGTGCCTGGAAAGATGTTGTCGTCTAAGCACTCGATATCGTTATCCGCTGCAACGAGCCTCGTAAGATCTACGCTCTCCGCCCAGGTGCCATCGTTACTGCCAATGCTCTCCAGATCGTACATTCTCATGACTTCTTCTGGTATCTCCTTCAATCCCAAAGCGGCAATATTCAACCGGCCTGTAGTGCGTGCAGAAGCCACTCGTTGCTGCAATACTTTGGCGCTCGGTACATCTCCCTTCCTTAGATTAAAAGGGTCATCATGTTCCAGGACAAAGCCATTTGTAGCAGTTGATGACGTGGTAGGTACACCATTTGATCCGTGGTTTTCAGATGCCTGTCTTACAGCCGCGCGCTTGGCTGCTTTGGCCTTGGCAATTTGTTCTCGCAGTGCTGCCGAAGACTTTCGGTTTGTCAGGGGTGTAAAGTCCGTGGGGACTAAAGCAGATGATGAGGGAGGGATTGCAACGTCCCAGGACTCTGATGGAGCGCCTGCAGCCTTGGGTATTGAAGGGAGGGAAGGCTTTTTGAATAGACCGGTAGTCGATGCTCGAGGCTTTGTTGATCTTGGAGCGACCGACTTGGAGCCGGACCTGATGGAGCTTTTTTCAAACATCTTCTTCTCAGGGCTAGTGCTCCTCAAAGCGTCTTGTACATACGAAATACCCGTATTTTCCAACTTGGTAGTGGGCACAAGCGAAGCACGTTTCGAAGCCGCTCTGGTCTGCGGGGTTTTTGCGACACCAGTAGCGGAAGTCCTTCGTGTAGTGCCACTGATGGTCGATAGGCTGCTTTTAAACGGGTTGCCAGAGGCGCGGAATGCCGCAGAAGAATCATCTTGCCCAGCACTAGAACCCGGCCGGCTTCCTTGTCGGGATGATGCTCTTCCAAACCCATCAGAGTTGTAGCTGGAACCCGGCCTAGAATTTCCCCCATCTGCTCGTGATCTTGGTCGCGCTTGGTCGAAAAATGATGACGACGTTTTGCTCAAAGCTGGTGATGGCGGAATCTGTGCCAGGGTTTCCATTGTGCGCTCTGTCAAGGAAGGGCGCGGCATGAACTTCCGAGTGCTGGGAGTGTGGAAAGTGTGGAAAGCTGTTTCATCGCTGTCAAGTGAATCGCCCTGAAAAATGGCTTCACCACCAAGCTCAGCCGCATTGCCGGATGAGGTGCTCGGGCTAAAAGCATGCAGGCTCTGCGTGGGTGAATGATCCCACTTATCTTCGTTGGCGGCATTGAAAGAAGCATCTATGGCTAAAGGCTGTGGTGTAGTTGAATTAGCTCGCTGTTGAGAGCTTGGAATCCTTGGTTTTCTCTGGGTCTGGTTGAGCTGCGACTTGGTATTTATAGGTTGGCGTGTGCTCGAGCGAAGCTGATCTTGCGAGGATACCGATCGCAATGGGCTGTCTCTGTTGCCGACACCGCCTACGCTGCTGCGAAGTTGGTCTCGCGATGCAGCAGGTCTCAATTTTGGCGGATTAAGCTCCCCTCCACCAAGACTGTCTCTAGAAGCTTTGGGGCGAACCGGTATAGTTGTCGAGGTCGAGGTTGAGGCCAAGAGGGCAGTCTTCGGGACGCTCGATCGTGGTACGGGGAGTCGAGACAGGCGCGGAATGCCACTTGGGCGATCCCTGGGGCCGTCCATTCGTGCCTAAGAATGTGCTGTAAGAGAGCCACGAGTGAGGAGCTTCAATTCAAGAAGTTATTCAAAGCGAGGCATGTACCGCGTCCAATTGGAATATTTCCAACATTGACAGTGGTTTGGACAGCTGAAGCTAGATCGTGGGGGTCGCGGCAACGGAAGTAAATAAAGGGTCAAAGTTTTTTTTTAGCGGCGCCGCTGATGAATGAACAGAATATCTGCACTTTCACAGCGGGCACGGAGCACTCGGGAGAAGCAGAATGATGGAGGTTGCTGGGCTTTGAGCTGCACAAGATGGCTCGGTTCAATGTTGGTCAGAGACGAGCATGCAGATGTGCAGACGTGGAGACGTGCATGGAGATGGGGGTCTGGACTGGTGGCTGTTGCCGGGGAAGGAGCGCTCAAGGGTTAACCGATGAGTTTCCAAAAGTTGATAACTGATACGGTACAGGTCGAGGACCCAAGTGTCCATCTAGCATGATTGAATTGACTGCATCCAACTGACTGCTGAAGCACGGAGTATGGTGCATGGACCAATTGCCTCGGTGCGTTGTATTCCGTGCACGAACAATGATTGATGGACCAAATGACCCTCGTCAGGGGCAAGGTTTTGAGACAAGTTGGCACGTTCTGGAGGGGGCACCGATGGGCAGTTCAAAATCGCTCTTCTCTACGGAGTAACATGCATGTGTGAGATGTGGTAAGATGTGTGAATTATAGCTATAGAGAAGAGACCGAATTGAACTAACTTTAAACTTGTATATCTTCAAGCACCACACATTGCGGCTTATGTCCACTGGTCAGGTACAGAGATCTGATAACCCAACACTTCTTGAGTGCGCCATTACAACAACTCCGCGTGCCAATGTGCGATGACTGTAGTGCAATAAGACGAAATTACGACGGCCTGTCTCCCTGTCTCATAGATGATGTCAAGCGACATGGAATGGATTGAGCCGAGAAAGGGAGCGGCAATGCCTCTGTGACGACGCCGGACTCGGAGCATTGACCAAGGCCACATAAGCTAACCAGCTGTAACAAAACGATACATACTGCCGGGTTTAATTAAACGCGGAAAGGTAATGAAGGGTGTTATCGATTGGGGACCTCAGGTTGTTCAGACCAACCCGGAAGGCCGAATTTAAGTTATAAAATGGCCTCGGTAAGCACCCTTGACCGTGAGCTACAATGCTACGCCCATTTCGGTCAATACGATGTACAGTCGGTCCCAGTAATTCCGAAAAAAAAAAAAATCCACTTAAAAAATAAACTTATACTTTTTAAAAATTTATATTAAATGATATATGAAAGTAAAGTAAATATTAAAATTATTATTTAAGAT